CCCCGCGCGCGCTCGCGCTCCCCGTGGCTGCTCCTCCGCTCGGCCCGAGCTCCCGGCCCGAGAGGGGCCGGTCGGCGGCTCGCACGAGGGAGGGAATCCCCCCCTCGGCGGTCCCACCCCCGAGCCGGCCCCCCTTCCTGGGATCCGCAAGAAAAAACGGACTGGAGCGCCGGGCCCCGGAGTTCGCAGCCCCCTCCCGGGCCCGGCCCACAGCTGGAGGCTAGGCAGGGGGACAGACCCCCGGCCCCTGGCGTAGGACCCCCGGCCCTGGCCACCGGCCCCCACCCCGCTCCTGCACCCCGGAGGTTTCCAAGCCGCAGCAACTCGGGCACATCTTGGGGTGAGAACAGGGTCCAGGACCCTGGCCAAACCTCAGTTTCCCCAAAGGAAACCTGGAAGACTGACAAGAATAAACTGTTAACAGAGGGGGGGTCCTGGCTACTCTCCTCTCCTTCGGAGTCAAATCTTTAGTCTTCCGGTCCACAAGACATCCTGAGGCCAACCCCCCCCCCCCAGGTGATCACAACTCCACTCCCAGAACCTGGGGAGGGGTGGACATGACACATAGGCAGCCAGTGTCTGAGTTGGTGCTCCATCGGTCCACTTACCAGCAGTGTGGCCAGGCCTAAGATACTTGACGTTTCTGAGCTTCAGGGTTCTGTTTTCAGGGCTCAGTGAAATGAAGGATGCAGGGATTTAATGGCAGGAACTCTATCAGTGTCTGTTGGTGGTGAGCATTTGAAGGGTAGCAGACACCTGCAGTGACCCGGATGATGAAGTCAAGCCTGAACAGACAGGGAGGGAGAGATGCTTCATGGGGTGGCAAACAGCTGTCCTCCAGCCTCACTTCAGATTGGGCAAAGGAAAATGAGCTAAAACTAGTTTGCAGAGTCAAGCTAGAGCAGGAAAGACACATTGACTGTGTGTGTGTGTGGTGGTGGGGGGTGAGTAATCAAGACAGGCTGTGCAATCTCCTTGGGATGGGGGGGGGGAGCTGAATATTGAGCCAAGGGCACCGGGTCGTTTAAATGACAGGAGGATGGAAGAAATGGCTCCTGGGGTGTCCCGATGACCAAGGAACAGAGATGGTAGATAGCCAAGAAAGGGGAGTTGTTGGATCCCAAATGTTCTATGTCTGGGCTCATACAACCAGAGCATTGCCAAATTTTCAGGAGACAAATAGCCATTTCTGAGTTGGTCCCTGGGACCCTCCCACACTGTCCGGAGCTCCTCCCCTCTCCCCTCTGCCCTAAGCCTTCCTTGGGTCTAACCAGCCTTGGCTCCACTCAGTGCCTAATCAAACAGCCCCAAATGCTGAAAACTCAATGTTTATTTTATTTTATTTTTTACACACTTGCATAACTCCCTGAGAAGCCACGCCAGGCATCAGGCTTTTGTTTGGTTTTATTGTGTTGCATTTAGGAAAGAGAATGGAGAGAGGAGAGAAGGGACAAAGGAAAGAAAAGAGAAGAGAAGAGAAGAGAAAACACAAACTACCCAGCTCCAGAAGCTGTCATAAGCCAGGCACTGGGCTCAGATTTCCTGCCTGAGGAAAAGTCTCTGTAGTCAAAAGGCCTTGCTGCTAGGCTCAGGAATGAGTGAGAAAGGGGAGAAAGCCACCCAGGTCAGCAAAGATAAGGAATTAGAACCATGTGACCAGAGCTGGTAAATAATAGAACATTGTTGGGACATCTATTATATGCCAAACACTGTACTATGACATATATAATCATTGCTTGACTTTAACTTCTTTCTTTTTCCTTCCATTCCTGTTTCTATCCCCTCCCTAACCCCTTTCACAGCCAGGAAGAAAGCTGAGCCTCAAAGAGGAGAAGTATTGTGCTTTCATCTTTTAGTTTGGGTGCTCTTCCATCTGAGACAGACCCCCAGCCCTCTTGTTCTTTAACACACACATGAAGTTTCATCTGGCCACTTCACAAGTCAGCTTTTGGGCCGGCCTCCGAGTCCTTTCATCATTACTGATGGCCTGGCGTGGTGTCTTCTGCTGCACTTGACTTGCTGAAGGGCAGGGGCAATATCTGCTTCATCTTCACCACCGCAGCCTGTCTGGTGAACAGGCCTCACCTGCATTTGGTGAACTAGACCTGACAGCCAGGATGGCGCCCTTGGAAACCCTATAGGCTCACTGGAGTGAAATGAGGGAAGATAAGTCAATGGAGCTCGGCCACAGCAGTAGCTTCTAGAGACTAGCAAGTATCCCACATTTGGCATGGATTACTGAGCTGCTTAATTCTAATGCTTTCAGCTGTACAAAATAGAAACCAACTCAAAATATCTTAGACAAGAAGGGCTAATACAGGAATGGCCTCTTGAACTCTTTTCCTTAGTAAATATTCTCAGGTCCAAACATGTCAGACCTGGGGATCAAGAATCTCAAGTTTGGGGCTGGGAAGGTGGCTCAGTGGTAGAGCGCTTGCCTTGCATGCCTGAGGCCCTGGGTTCGATTCCTCAGCACCACATAAGCAAAAAAAGCTGAAGTGGCACTGTGGCTCAAGTGGTAGAGTGCTAGCCTTGAGCTGAAAAGCTGAGGGACAGTGTCCAGGCCCAGAGTTCAGGCCCCACGACCAGACCAAAAAAAAAAAAAAATCTCAAGTTTGCCAGGTGCCAGAAGCTCATGCCTATAATCCTAGCTACTCAGGAGGCTGAGATCTGAGGATTACAGTTCAAAGCCAGCCCAGGCAGGAAAGTGCTTGAGACTCTTATCTCCAATTAACCACCAGAAACCTGGAAGGGGCGCTGTGGCTCACGTGGTAGAGCGCTGGCCTTGAGCTGAAGAGCTCAGGGATGGCGGCCAGGCCGAGTTCAAGCCCCATCTCGACCTGCTTCTCTCCCCGCTCCCTATTCTTTCCCTCTCAGTCAATGTCCCCACCAGCCACTGAGCCAAATGCTCCAATTATAACCCCAAGATCTCACCCTTGGTTGCTGTCTTTGCTTTTCTCCCACATCTATATATGCACCCATTAGCAAATGCTCACTTCTTCCTCCTCCCCCTGTACCGCCAGCAAAGTCCCAGTGGCACCAGCACCAGCGTGAGCGGGGCTCACTTCTGGCTGCTCTCCAGCTTCCCTTCTGCCCCTCACAGCACAGCAGCGGCCAGTGTGCTTTTCAGGAACACAAATCAGATCATAGCACCTGAATTCATTTCCAATGGCTGCTGTAACAGAGTGATCATGCAGTTCTATAGCCAGAAGGTCTGAAATGAGTTTTTAGGGAATGATTTCCTCCAAGATGCCCGGGGAGATTCCACCCCCAGAGTATGTATGTATTATGTATGTATGTATGTATGTATGTCAAATAGGGTCTTGCTGTATAGCCTAGGCTGGCTTCAAGCTTTCATTCCTCCAGCCTTGGTCTCCTGAGTGCTGGGATTCCAGGAATGAACCACCAGGCCCAGCTGGGGCAGATTCATTTCCTTGTTTGTTCCACTGTCTAGAGGCCACTTGCATTTCTTGGCTCATGGTCTCTTCCTTGCATCACTTGGCCCCTATTTCTGTCATCACCTCTCCTTTAACACTGACCCTCCTGCCTCTGCGCCTCTGTTTTTATAAGAACCCTTCTGGTGATGACATTGGGCCCACCTGGATGATCTAAACTAATCTGCCTAGCTCAAGATCGTTAACAACATCTGCCACCCCCTCTCTCACTGGCTGAGGTAACGTGTCCGAGGGTTTCAGGGATTAGGATGGAGACATTTTTGGAGGGTGTCTGCCCTCTTTTACTTTCTCCCAGGGGTTCCATTGTACTTGGAGTTAAAGCAAACCCCTCTTCTGAGAGCCCGCCTGTACTTGCCCACCCCACCCACCCTGGCTTTCCCTTGGCAGCACCAGACCAGATCCTGGTGGGAAGTCTGGAATGTTCTTCAATATGAGCAGTGTATATGTGGCCTGGTCCTTACAGGTCTCAGGTCAGCTGACACCCCTTAGGGGCCTTATCTTGAGCTGCTCTAGCAGTTCATTTTGTTATTTTTTTTCTTTTTCTTTCCTTTTTTTGCTGGTCCTGAGGCTTGAACTCTGGGCCTGGGCACTGTCTCTGAGCTCCTTTTGTTCAAAACTAGCACTCTACCACCTGAGCCACAGTGCCACTTCCGACTTTTTCTGTGATTTAACTGGAGGTAAGTGACTCATGGACTTTCCTCCCCAGGAAGGCTTCAAACTGTGATCCTCAGATCTCTGCCTCCCAAGTAGGCAGGATTACAGGCGTGAGCCACTGGCACTTGACTTCATTATTTTTGTCTTCATGGCACTTTGTATCTGCCTGAAGTCTTGTTTATTAATTTGTTGTCTGCCTTCCCCTGTAAGAACACAGGCTCCTTCATGGCCGAGAACATGTCTCTACTGAGTCCTCAGAGCTAGGACTCAGTGTGGATTTGTTGAATGTGTCAATGAGCTTCACTTTCTCGTCTTTTCAGTGGGTATAAGGATGCCTTCTGTCTCATTAGGACACATTGAGAAGCAAATGAGAAAATATGAGCTGAAAGCTTTAGGTACCAATAACGAGCCATGCACTAGATCAGGGACTTCATACCTGAGGTGTTAGTCAGGTGCCTGTGGCTTATGCTTGAAATCCTAGCTATTCAGGAGGCTGAGATCTGAGGATCCAGATTTGAAGTCAGCCCAGACAAGAAAGCCTGTGAAACTCTTTTTTTTTTTGGTCCAGTCGTGGGGCCTGAACTCTGTGCCTGGGCGCTGTCCCTCAGCTCTTCAGCTCAAGGCTAGCACTCTACCACTTGAGCCACAGCTCCACTCCCGGCTTTTTTTTCTTTTTGCTTATGCTGTGCTGAGGAATCGAACCCAGGGCCTCAGGCATGCAAGGCAAGCACTCTACCACTGAGCCAACTTCCCAGCCCCCTGTGAAACTCTTATCTCCAATTAAGCAGCAAAAAGCTGGAAGTGGACCTGTGGTAGAATGCTAGCCTTCAGTAAAAAAAAAAAAGCTAAGGAATAGAGTCAAGGCCCTGACTTCAATACATACACACACACACACACACACACACACACACACACACACACACACACACACACACACACACACAGAGTGTTGTTCATGGCTTAGTTCAAGGTATATTTGTTTGCAAGCAACAAAAACCTTCTCAAAGCCAGGTGTAGTAGTTCACTCAGGGAGTGGGGAGAGAGAGCTGAGGCTGGAAAGTTGAGAGGTCAAGGTCAGCTTGAGCTACAGAGTGACTCACAGTGTAAAGGAAACAGAAAAAAAACCTAAGAAACTCCCTCCAGCCCGTTCAAGGAAAAGGAAGCTCCTTGCAAGGTTACACTGCACAATGTAGCTGGCACGCAAGAAGGACACAGTGCAGGAGAGACAGGCTGTTCCCTGGACATCGTGCAGGTGCCAAGTCACCACTGTCCACAGGATCTTCCTCGCCACCACGTCTCTCTGTGAAGCCAGGCTTTCCCCCTGAAGACTGGCTGCTTCTACTGCATGTGGCCATGTTGCCCCAATACTCTGTGACCTTATGAACATCCATGGTCACTCAGGCTTCTACATCCCACTCGGAGAAACAGGCATCTATGTGCCCTGTTGAGCCTTTGTATGTCAGTGTGGGTAAGAAGATGAGGTCCTGGACCCCTGTGGCTGCCTGGGCACATGACATCAGGCGGGATTGTGGCTAGGGACCCTAAAACTGGTT